TCACGTGTTATGGTGGCAGATAAATATGAAAATCGTGGAAGAGGTAGAAATCGAAATTCCAATTACAAGAACTCTCGGGATCGAAGTAACAGTCGAGGTAGATGTAGAGGGAGATCAAAATCAGTCTCAAGAACGAGAAGAGAAATCACATGTGATCATTGTAACCAGCCCGCACACATGAGGAGAGAGTGAAGAATCTTAAAGCGGGAACAAGCTAGAGAAAAAATGTTGATAACCGAGAAAATATGATACTACTTCTACTACCACAGATGGCGATGTGGTCATCATTTGTGATTCGGTTTTGTTAATCTCGCATGCCAAGAGAGTGCATGGGTTATTGACTCGGGTGGCTCATTCCATGTGACCTCGCGAGTTGATTTTTTTCTCTTCCTACACAAAGGGTGACTATGGTTTTGTGAGGATGAAAAATGATGGTGCATCAAAGATTGTTGGCATGGGTAATATTCATCTAGTAACTAACACAGGTTGCAAGCTTGTCTTAAAGGAGATGAGACATGTTCATGACATGAGGTTGAATTTGATATCCACCGGAAAGCTTGATGATGATGGTTATACCAACTATTTTGGAGAAGGAAAATGAAAGCTATCAAGAAGTTCTCTTGTGATGACTAGAGACAAGAAGGAAGGTGCACTCTATATGACGAGTGCAAAGCATAACAAAGAATCAATGTTGGCTAGAAAGACTCCTCCATTGAAAACGTGGAAACTAATTAATCATAATGATTTTTGGTTCCATTTCCCTTTTTCTAGTTATGCCTTTGCCTTATTTGTCCAATCATAATTAGTTAATTATATTTATACGAATTCTCATTTATAAATAAATAGTTATTTAAATCAGAGTTCCACCTTTTACACCATTTGCTTTTTTCTTGAGAGCTTTACCTTCCCATTTGGACAAGAAATTTCAACAATTACACATGAAATTTCTAGCTATGTAGATACATAAGGGATAAAATATTATAAATAAAATAACTATCATTGCAAATACACTATCATAAAATATAAATTCAAATCTCAACAGACACCAACAACTCAAATTGACCAGTCCAACCACAAAGTGTGATCCCAACCTAGTTTTCATTATAGCGGTAACCTGTTAGATTTCTTGCTTCTTTGGTGGAAACTAACACATCCGACAGGAAGAAAAGTAATTCCGAGAGGGCAGGGCACAAACCTAAAGGCTTCAGCATATATATGAAGCTTGAAGGTGCTTCACGAACTAAGCTTAAACAAGAACTACATGGCTACAAGAAGAAGATATGCCAGGCTAAGAGCTATAACCACGCGATTCCAATTCCAGCAGACACAAACTTTTACCAATAGTCTCCACAAGAACATTTTCCATCTACAAAGTGGTGGAAGCAATTGGAATCTCTTAAAACAATATGGCGATCATACAAGCTCGATATGTACTTGAAAGCAGTGTGGCAGTCTCCACAAACCCGGAGGTTCTTGTAAATCCGGATCACTGCTCCGCTAGGCACAACAAGCAGTCCAAACGCAAGAGCCAATTTCTCACTGTGATAAGCAAGTCCAAGCTCTTTCCCTTCCCTTTCCATGTCATGAAGCACAAAACTCATATCAGGAACGTAACCAGCTTCCTTGATCAATGCAATCACCTCATCGATCTTGGAATAAATCCGAGCCATCATTGGATGGCTCCTGTCCTCAGAAACAAAGGTGTGAGTTTTGCCATTTGCCTGAGTCCAACTTGATCCGGGCTCCTTACTAATTCCTCTGCACTTCATCAACTTTCTGATTTTGGCAGCATCTTCCCATCTGCCAGCAGCAGAGTACAAATTTGACAACATTACATATGGCATGCTATTTTTCGGTTCCAATTCAAACAGCTCCTTTGCAGCCATTTCTCCCATTTCTAGCTCTTTGTGCATTCTACATGCTCCTAGTAGGGATTTCCATACGGTTGCATCTGGTTCTACATCCATTTGGTCAAGTAACTGCTTTGCCTCAGACAAGTTCCCCGAGCGCCCCAAGAGATCAATCATGCAAGCATAATGCTCGGCTCCCGGTTTGATCCCATGTATATTGTCCATCGAGTTAAAGTAGGAGCGACCCTTTTCAAGAGAACCAGTGTGACTGCAGGCAAACAGTAAGCCGATGAATGTGATATAATCTGGTGCAATTCCAGCAGAGATCATTTGATCATATAGGAGCAGGGAGTACAATCCTTTACCATTTTGTGCATATCCAACTATCAAAGCTGTGTACGTTATAACATTCCGATTCTGCATAGAGTCAAAGACTCGATTGGCATCTAAAATAGCACCACACTTTGCATACATCGTAACTAGAGAATTATCCACAGACAAGGATGATTCAAGACCAGATTTAACAAGTATGGCATGAAGTTGCTGCCCAAATTCCATAATTGCCAATTCTGCACAAGAACTCATAATGTTGGCAACAATTAGTTGATCTAGCTGTATACTACCAGTAACATGCATTGCGCAGAATAACTTTAGAGACTCTTCATAAGATCCATTATGTGAATATCCTACTACCAAGGATGTCCAGGAGACGACGTCTTTGCCTTCCATGTGGTTAAATATAGTTAACGCCGAATCCAGGTTCCCCTGTTTGGAGTACACGTCAACAAGAGCATTATTCACGACCTGGTATCTCCCAAACCCACTTTTCAATATGAGACAATGGACGGACTTTGCATTTCGCACATCTTTGGTAGACGCCAGAGAATTCAGAACAGACGGTAAAGTGTACTCATCGATCTTCATGTTCTTAGCATGCATTCTTTGAAACGTGTACAAAGCCTCACCTTTCAAACCCTGATTAACAAATCCTACTATCAGGGAGTTCCAAGATATTGCATCATCAATTTCCATGCTCTCTAGCTTCTTCTTTGCGCTTTTCAAGTCCCTGCATTTTGCATACATGTCAACCAGAGCGCTCTGAACAAAGATATTAGACCCAAAACCACTCTTAACGATGCAACCATGAACCTGAAGTCCAAAATCATTAGCCAGAACAGCTGCGCAAGCTGTCAAAATGGATGGAAAGGTGAATTGATTTATCTCAACCCCTTGTGCTCTCATGTGACGGAAGAAGTCCATGGCTTGGAAGCTATCCCTATTATGAGAGTACCCAGTAAGCATAGCAGTCCAGGTAGCGTGATTCTTAGCATCAGCCACCTTCTCGAAAAGACTCTCAGCCTCTATAATGCACATACACTTGGCATACATATCCACAAGCCCAGTAGCAACAAAAACATTGCCATCATTTCCAGTCTTTAAAGCATACCCATGAATCTGCTCTCCTCGTTGAAGAGAAGAAGTCATTGAACACAGCCTAAGAACACTGCCCATCGTATACTGGGTCGGCCTCTGTCCTTCCATGTGCATCTCCGAAAACAGCTTGAATGCTTCAACTTCACATCCATATCTACAGTAGCCAGCTATCAAACCGGACCAAGTGATCGAACCCTTCACTGGCGACTCATCGAAAAGCTTCCTGGCGTCTGTCAATCTTCCTGAATTAGCATAAGCAGCAACCATTGTGTTCCACGTGAACTCATCCTTGTCAGGCATTTCGTCGAACAGGTTACGGGCCTCCTCGAGGCATCCCAACTTCGACAACCCATTCAACCGCCTGTTCAGTTCGATCGTTGTTGAACGTAAGAGGGACGGAGGAGGTCGATACGAAACCCACGTTCGTAATTTGTGCATAACCGGCTTCTTCCCCCAGGATTCGGCGGTCGGAAACTTTTCCGACGATAGCAACAAAGCCGCCAGACCATCAGAAGGTCAGATAGGTAACGCCCCTACTCCACGACAGGGCCGAGAGAGATGGCGGTCCGGCCCAGCCCAAAGAAACTCCACTGCTTCTCTCGGGAAGAATTCATCGGACCTCGCGCAAAGTCTATGTTCGTTAGTGCAAGAGTTAAAACACTTCGATACACTTAAGTTTGAGAATCATGGTCGACATATCAATTTGGATTTTCTACCCATTTCTGATGTCAGTATAGATATGAGTAAAAACCAAACTACTTTGGGTAGGATAACGAATATGCACTATCTGTTCCCGACCCGACCCATTGTCATCTCTAATAATAAGGTTATCACCCACCACTAAAATGGGTTTAAATTTTAAAATGATCCACCTGACCCACGTCACCCCTACCGAGATTCTTCCGCACAAAAAACGGCATCGCTTAGAAGCAGCTGTAGCCTGTAATATGGGTGAACAAACACACCCGCAAACCGACTCACCCGTCCAACCCGACCCAACCCACCCGTATTTACCGTTAAAACGAGGTTTTGGGTTGGGTGAGGGTTTTCTTTTGTACAACCCGCCTCTTTTGGGTTAGGTTTGGATTTTGGATTACACAACCCGTAGAACCCGACCCAACCCGTATTCCAACTATTAGTATGAGTTCGAATCTAAAAAATATTTATGTAGTATATAGTCATATACTTATGAGAAAATTAAGATATTTCGCCATGTTTTTCTCTCATGGTCTCCCTAATCTAATGCATTTTTTGACTTAAAGTTTAGACATAAATTGAATATAGTTATGATTCACGTAATCCTTTTTCTTGTGTACAATTTTAATAGAATAACATATGATGGATGCGTTTGTTTATAACATTTTTAGCCTATTTCAACAAATATTGTGAAAAAACAAGACACATGTTGAAGTAAATTATATTTTATTAAAATTTAAACACCATTTGTGAATTTTCATACCTTTCACCTTGGTTCATTGGTTTGAAATTTTAATTAGTTATAAAATATTTTATGATGTAGAATAATTATATATTTTATGTTGGGTTGGATTTTTACTTAAAAATATCGCCAACCCGACCCAACCCAATTAGAAACAAACCGTAAGATTTAAATTTTTTTGGGTGGATTTGGATTTGATATTTCCCAAACCGTAGTGCATGGATCGGGTGATTAAAATGACTAAACCCAAACCATCCGACCATGTACACCCTAGCATGTAAGCCTGTAACGTTTATCCGGAGGCGAAACAGTAGGAACCTTTGTCAAATTTTCAGATACCGGAGCTCAGGGGAAAGAAATGGCTACTCCAGCTCATACCTCGCTCCTCCTCTCCAATCCTTCGCCGCAACCGCAATCGCAACTCTTGTTCACTGCCCGGAGATCAGTTTCCGCTCACACTAGAGCAACCAGATTTAAATGCTCAGCGAGCCAGACTGGGTTCTTCAGTCGGCTCGGTCGGTTGATAAAAGAGAAGGCGAAAAGTGACGTCGAGAAGGTCTTCTCCGGATTCTCGAAAACCAGAGACAATCTCGCTGTCATCGATGAACTCCTCCTGTACTGGAACCTCGCCGAGACTGACCGAGTCCTCGACGAGCTGGAAGAGGTTACTTTTCTTCGTGAATTTCGCACTTCGTTCAAATATTGAACTAGAAGATTAGCATTTTCCGTGTCTCTTTTCTGATAATAGAGGTGTGCATTTGATTTGAAGATTCTACTGGTCGCTGATTTTGGGCCGAAAATCACAATCAAGATCGTAGAGAGCTTACGGGAGGATATTCTGGCGAGGAAGCTCAAATCAGGAAGTGAAATCAAGGTAAATGGAGGCTGAGTGTTCTTTCCACTGCAATTGAGGAAGTTACTCTGTTTGGAATTTTTGCATTGAATTGTTGTGTTCTTGTAGGATGCTTTGAAGAGTCGTGTGCTGGATTTGTTAGTCACGAAGGGGAACAAGACGGAGCTTCAACTTGGATTCAGGTTCTGAATGTGCCATGTTGTTTGTGTGTGTTCGTGGTATGGACTATTTACATTCCTTGTGTTTCGAGGAAGGGCCCGTGATTAACGAGGCGCTGGCTTTGCTTTGTGGTATCAGGAAACCGGCTGTGATCATGATAATTGGCGTTAATGGTGGTGGAAAGACAACATCCCTTGGTAAGTCAGGAGTTGGAGAACAAATTGATCATTGAGTTGAGAACAGTAGTAGCGAAAGTTTGGCAGGCTTTTGTGGTAGTATGTCCAAGTAGATGAGGCAAACCGAGGGTGATGCATGCAATTTTGAGGCTATGGGACTCTAGTATGCATGGCAGTCAAATTTTTTGTGGTTATGCTGTGGGCTATAGTGTATCTTGAGGAAGATTCAAGTAGCTTGTCTTGTTTCTTAATTGAATTTTCTGGGACTCTTCATTTTATGGTTTCTTAATCTCCACTAATTAGTTATTTCTGAAAAACCATGATTCCAGTGGCATATGAGCGTGTACTATTAATGCAGGCAAGCTGGCATATAGATTGAAGAATGAAGGAGTGAAGGTAAGTTGTTTAGATACTCAGTGTGATTTAGTCTACTAGACTGGCTGAATTGAGGTAATGATCTATGGCGTAGTATAGAAGTCTGGCAGAAATTATTTTGTTCCTAGGAGCTACCAAGCAAATTATTAAAGCTCTTGTTGGTATGTGCGGACTGAGTTTTGATATCAAGAGCTACTGCTTTTGCAGTGATCGCAATGCTTGTGCATGTTTCATGGACATCTTTCATTTCTCGAGTTCGTGGTTTAGAAAAGTTTTGCAGGAAGTACTTGCCCTTGGTGTCCTTACTTGGGCTTGTTATGTTGCTAGATATTGATGGCAGCCGGAGATACATTTAGGGCAGCTGCCAGTGATCAGTTGGAGATATGGGCTGAAAGGACTGGATGTGAAATTGTTGTGGCTGAAGAAGAAAAGGCAAAAGCATCATCTGGTAGGAAATTTGGATACAATTGGAATTCATCATTTGGATCTTTGTAAACAGCAGAAGTTCAATCTTCACATGGTGTAAGTACTAACTCATGATCTTAAAGTGCTTTCTGAATAGTTCTTTCACGGGCTGTCAAAAGAGGGAAAGAAGAGGGCTTTGATATTGTTCTGTGCGACACCTCTGGACGTAAGTACTTGGGCTTGCGACCGATGGCTGTTTATATGTGGATCCTATCACAGTTTCTAACGGACAACTGGATGTTTTAGGTCTCCACACGAATTACAGCCTAATGGAAGAGTTGATAGCATGTAAGAAAGTTGTGGGCAAAGTCGTTCCTGGTGCACCCAATGTGAGCTTAACTCTTAGGGCAGACTCTTTTAGTATTTTTATTACTTACTAGGAAGTTCTATTCGTAGTAAGGCTCTCACAATGTGTTACTCCCTAGTCCCTACTTCCCTAAATTTTGTTAAAAGAATTTCCATCAAGATCTGTAACTTTGCATGACTCACAGGAGATCTTGCTGGTGCTGGATGGGACCACGGGTCTCAATATGCTTCCCCAAGCAAGAGAGTTCAACGAGGTAATCTCACTTTTCCGTCGGCATTGGCATTATGAAATTCATTGTTTAAGAAATGATCAAACTGCGAAGCTCATTTTCTGCGAACTATTTACTTGTAACTATGATAACAGGTGGTGGGGGTAACGGGTTTCATTTTGACGAAGCTTGATGGCACTGCAAGAGGTGGCTGTGTGGTATGCATAATGGCATTTAATTTAATGACTGAAAGATTGTCTAACTATATTGGAAATCATTGAAGTTTACTATGATCTTTGTTCATACAGGTTAGCGTCGTGGACGAGCTTGGCATCCCTGTGAAGTTTGTTGGTGTCGGTGAAGGCGTAGAAGACCTCCAACCTTTCGACGCAGAGGCTTTCGTGAATGCCATATTTACCTAGGGCCTGAACCAGAGTTAGTATGCCGGCACTTCACAGTTGGGTTGTTTTACTGCTCGAAATTGTGCAAGCTTAGTGTATTAAATCGACCAATTTCATTGTTGATTTCAGGTTACCTAACCACCAAAAACTGGGATTGATTGTCCCAAGTTTAGTGAAAACTTGATTCAGTACTGATCTTGGCTTGCAGGGGGATGCGGCGAATACAAGAAGTCGGGAACACGAAGATCAGCACTGGGAAAAGCCAAGCCAACTTCCGCCGGGACTACGAAAGGAGCCTAGCTTCAGGAGGAGCCATTTCACAACAACAGTGTTGAGCAAAAGAGAGGATTGATGGTGGTATTGGGACATTGGAGATGTAGAAATGAACGATAAAAAGCTTAATGCAATTTGTCTTTCTGTCTGTATAAGAACACCATTACACACATCAAAGGACCATCATCTTGTAATCTTCCAAAATGGTGTTCCAAAAGAACTCATCTAGTGATGAGGCAAATTGTGAATTATGAAATGGGAGCAAACGGGTCCGCATTTTCTTTCTTGCGTGCGTCTTCTGTTTCCGGTTTCATAACTTGGAGGCAGGCAGGTGATAGAAAGTAGCCCGAGCGGTGAACATGAGCTTCCCAGTTTTCTTCTGTCGGAATTCCATCGAAACCACCGTCAAGTTTCTTCCGCTCCTCACCACCGACGCGTCAACCGTCACCGTCTCCTGCAAACAACCAAAGCGGCGATGTAATGAATCGGAGAGCAACGGGAGAGGTAAATGAGAGAGAAAGGGTGGGGGAGAGAAGCTCTCACATTTTGAGGGGCGGCGGAGAGGTAAGAAATGCCCAATTCGCCTAGAAACAGCTCCTTCTCCTCCGGCACTAGGGTTCTTGCACAGGCAATCGACACTCTCTCCGCCACTGCCGCGGCGGCCCCTCCGTGCAGTCCTTTGTAGAAATTCTGCAACCAACCACACCACCGTATGGGATTCTTCCGCAAATTCAAATTCAATTTTTTTTTCTCGGAAGCCAAACAGAAGGGAAACAGTAGAGATAGATTGGACGCAAAGAGGAGAGGAGGAATAGATGGCAGTTAAATTACAGCTACGACGGGGAGGACGGAGAAGGAGCAAGAGATCCGGCCGCGTTCGACGGCGTGGACGTTGAGCAGGCCGCGGATGATATCGGAGTAGGAGTCGGTGGTGGATGTGTACTTCTCGACGGCAGGATCGGAGACTCCGAGGTTTGTGAAGAATCTATTTACCGTATTGACGTATTGAAGAGGAATGTCCCTCGCGATTGTTTCCGTGGCCGTCGAGCCGTCGCCGGCGGTGGCTGAGTTGACGTCCTTGGTCATCTCTCTCTCCAGTTCAGCTCAACCAGGCACCTGTTTACTCTTTTTGGGAAACCAACCACTTCTACTCTTCTAGCCTGGCCTTCAGGCCTTGTGCTTTCCCACCCAATCTTTTGTTGGTGAATTTTCCTTCCCATTTTGGCTTCTCCCTTTTGATTGGTTATCTCGAATGGTTAAAGCTAAGGCTCGACACTCGGTTAGCGGTTAGTGTTAGCCGTCCGGTTACAACCGAAATCGATCGATTATTCATTAATCGAAAATCGAGATAACCGAAAATCAATCGGTATTCGGAGGGATCGGCTAGTTACTTTTGGTCTTGGGGGCAGCTCGGTTAACCGAAAACCGAGATAACCAAGTCTTAAGGCCTCTTTTCGGTCGGTGGTCGGTAAATTGGGGAAGTGGTTCGGTTTAACTGATAACCGAACTCCACCCCTCATTAAAGCTTTGAATTTCATTGGCCATAAACTTTCTAACTTTGGTCGATGGCGTATTTTACTATCTAATCCAATTGGATTGGGTATGAAATCCAAATAGATAGTAGATAGGTAGAGTTTGCTGAGTTTGTACCCATACCATTTACTTGGGTTGAGTTGTGTTGTTAACACATGGATTTGGGTTTGTACCCATGTCCAAATGCAAATTATGGGGTCGTTTGCTTCAAGTATTTTCTAACGAGGGTTTTGTCATGAATTTGCTAATTAAAAACCTTGGGATTTATTAGGGATTTTGGGCATTCTGGATTTGAGGAAATCCTTTGTTTGTTGAGCTATTTTTATCATGGATTTGATGGTTTTTCAGCTTGTCTCAAAATCCCAAGGTATGAGGTGCGATTTATAAAACCGTGGGGCCCATGGATTTGAAGAAAAAAAAACCTAATCCGTGGGGCCCACAGATTTATCTAAACACTTTTTGACAAAGCAAACAACGGATTGTGTGTAAATCCATGATGGTTGTTTTTTTGGTACCAAATCCATGATGCAAATCCTTGAAGCAAACGACCCCTATAGTTTGGTACCTAACTTAATAGATATGTATATTTAGTACTTAATATTTTTTTTATATAAGTCCTCAAAATATCGATAAAAATTATGTTTTAGCATCTAAATTTTTTTTGGTCTTACATTTTGGTACATAAACTTTCAAGCTTTACAAATATGTCCAATTTTGTATGTGTAGTTAAAACACCCTCAAGTAAATGGATATCCACAACCAACCCATACCCATTCAGATTTTGGAAGCAATAGACATACCTTACCCAAACCATATACAAACCCTCAAACCCATATTTACATCATCCATACCCTATTATCAATGAGTCTACTTGGGTTTATGTAGAATTACCCACGGGTGGGTAATTGTCATCCCTAGTTTAGAGGTTTCTAATTGTAGCAAACACTGGGGGTGAAAAGTGCGCCTTTTTGTGGCCTTCGAGAGACGCACGTTCATGTTTTTCACTTTTTTGGCGAGTACGAATGAGTTTGCCGGACTCATAGGAAATTTGATCTGGTAAGCTGTTTCGAGAAGAGAGGCGAAACGAATTACTTTTTACGTGTTAAAGATGTAATGGTTGTAGCTGAGAATGTAATAGAAGTTGAGAGAAACAACCGAAGATAAATTCGAAAACATGTCCACCTAGAGAAACTGATGTAACTCCTTGGCGAAGCGGTTGAAAGACCACCTGAGAATCACCTTCGACGATTGAACGAGACAGGTTTCTAGAAACAACAAGCAAAATGACGTATCTGGCGGCCAACAATTCTACTAGGTAGGGATCAGACACTCCTTAGTGTAGGGACCCAAATGCCAGCCCGACATGCCTGTCCGAGCCATAAACAACCAGGCCACACCCAGAGTCACGATTGGTTGCATCAAGGAGATCTTCAAATAGTCTTCGGGGGGAGGCTCCCAAAGAGCAGGAGGGACCGACGAGAGGCAAGGATGCGATGATGGAGGAGGGAATGCGGGGGAGATGCCAAGAACTTGGAAAAACACTGACGAGCTAGAGAATTAGCATGTGGTTGATAATGTTCACAAATCACCTTATTACGAGACTTCCCAATTCTTCATAGTAACCAGATACATTGGAGAACATGGGTTTGAGGGTGCTCAGAAAGCATCACATGTCGTCACCAGACACTGGAATTCATAGTCAGGATCGAATCAATAAAGTTATTTTTAATCCCATCAGCGACCACAACTGGGTGGCTAGAGCCTAGAGGCATCTGAAAAACAAGTGTTCAATACTCTCTTAATATCTCCCGCATACAAGACATGAGATATGACCGGTTCACTCCTTGGGTCTATAAAGTTATTAAGTATTTTGAGTTTAGGCGGAAGTTGGGCATTCCAACTTAAAAGGCTTTAATAATAATAAATTTTTTAAGGTAATCACTAACGTCATAGTTATCCCAAATGTAACAACCTGTTTCACATCTTTGTAAAAGCATTTATAACATTAATATGAGATAATGACCACTAATACCAGACGTGGGTCTGGGCGTGGTGATAAGTGGACCTCAGGTACACTTCCTTCTCATGGCTGCTAAGAAGATTGCAGAGCCAATGAGAGGCTGAAACAACTGAAGCAATGGCGGCTGAGTTCGGGTTGCATATTGCCAAACAAATTACAAATCCAAGTTATGAATCCGATCCTAGAGATCTAAGTGCCTCAACACTGACTCAGAACTTCAGAAGCTGCAGAATGCGAAAGTCATTCACACTGGAATAGGGTATCAATTGTCAATGTATCAGGCGACACACACATGATTTGGGCAATGGGACTTGGAGGCACGTCAATCGGGAGGCAAATGAAGCAAACACATAATCGGAAGGCAAATGAAGCAGCACATATCATGGCATATGCAGAAACTACTATGCAATTTGCATCCCATGTTTGATTTCTAATCCTTCCTTTTCCTTCCACGTACCCCTTGGCCTATAGCTAGCCCACAGTTATGCAAACAACTAAGATTCAAGTCTAATAACAAACCCCCATTAATGTACAGAATTGTTCCACAGGAAGACGCAGGTGAAACCGCTTTAGAACATTAAAAGCTAAACCTGTGACTGCTACGCTTCTGTGTTTCTGCAGTCTGCAGGCCCAGCTCCTTAGACAGCTGTTCATCAGGTTGCAGGGTCCCTGGAATCGCACCGAAGGCTGTTCTCGATGCCTCAAACCCAGAGGCGAGATAGTGCACATAAGCTGATGCGTCCTCCATGTTCCTCTGCAGGTTCAGAGATGTGGACCCTAAGAGCTTTGAAGGACGTCTAGATAGTTTCCGTGAATTTGCCGCCACCCCATGAAGATCGCCGACTCTCAGAAACCGTTCAGTGGCTGCCTCCCATGATAGCTCATGCCTATGGGTTTCTGTGAGTTCACTAGGTTCTTCCTTCAGTGCATTGTTGGTGGCCTCTACAAATCCTTTGCTGTCGTCGTAAGTCCAGCAATTGGGGAACTGCTTGAAGAAGTCGTTTGATGGGTGGTTAGCACACACGACAAGCTTCCCCATTGCTAGTGCTTCAGCTGTTGTTGTGCATACCACGTCGGTGGTGCTTGGATTCAGGAATACTTTGTAACTGGAGGAAAGAAAGAAGAGAGGCTGATCGTGTTACTAATATTCATCATCTACAAGCAAAGTTCCTACTAGTTTGCTCAAGTCATCATAAGAAAATAGAACAGAAATGATAGACAGCTTACTCATGGAATACAGGATCTGCATGATCACGGCCAGGGTAAAGTCTAACAACTAGATCCAGCTTCTGAAAAGCTTCCTGAACTTCATTAGAATCTTCGCCGCTGCCATATAAATCTATTTCCAGCCCAGATAGCTCCTTCTGGTGTTTCCGGAGGAGGTCAAGAAGCTCCTTGTACCCTTTGTTCCAGACCATTTTACCTATGTAGTAAGCACCTTTACTGAAAGCCCTCTTACTAGATTGCTGTAACTCGATTGTCTTCTTTCCTATTTCAAGGAACTTAGGGTTTACTCCATGGACATTGCATATGATGGAATTAGGATATTCCTGGGTTGCAGCAGACAATCGAATCACCTGCAGAGTTGAGAGAAAACAGATTCTGGTTTACGAGAGCTATTCCTCTAGTTCACCATTTTATACCCTAAGCACCAAACACATGCAAAAGATGATAGAGCAACTGAAAATTTCATGGTAAAGCCATATACATCAAGAAAGAAGGTAGATATATAATAAATGAAATAGTATGTTAGTCTCTTCTAATAACAACCTAGTCTAGTTGAACATTATACATTACTAATTATTTGTTCTGCATGTGAAATATGATAACTTTATACCAGGTATGTCCGGTCGTAAACCAAACTTCCAGTCCAACAAAATTCTTCTGTACATCTGTCAGCACAGTAATCTCATCAAAGTTGGGGTGCTGAACCACATAGACGAAGTTATTAACCTGTTCTATTGGTTTGGGAAAATAAAGTTTCACATACCATATCTGCAGAGCAACACTAACACATAACTAAGCAGAAGATAACTACAATAAGGCACACTGAATGCTTGCCGCATGTCAAAACCAGAAAGCTGGCCAAAAATTCATATTTTACATATGTGAAACAAAACTTCCAAGCTAAATGGATTGTGTTTCTTGAATGTGAAAAATCCCAGAAAACTGATAAATTAACCAAGAACCATGGCCTGTGACGATTCAATAATCTAAGAAATTGAAAGTGCTGCATGCCACATAAAGAGATCCCTTGGCAAAGAATAGGCATTCAAGTAAAATACCAGATACATTCAAGTTTCATAGGACTGAAACAACCAAGAAATAATACCTTGTGGCAATAGATGTCAACAACCCAGGTGTTAAGATATCTAAGAATCAACGCTTTGACTCTGCCGTTACTTTCCCTCTTCACGTACGCCAAATAATTGGTGTGCACAACACCAATCACAAGACTAAACTTGGTTTTCCATCTCTTGCCATGGTGAAACCATGTAAGGTGCTCAGGTTCCTCAAGAACAGCAACTTCAGCCTCTTCATCTGGGATGACTTCAGAGATATCTCCAACAGGAAGAATGCTCCTCTTATCCACAGCAAACTACACAAGGAAAAACAAGCAACCTTCTCAACTACATGTCAATTAAATCCAACCGTCAACGAACAAGCCTAAACTCAGGCATTGCATACAACTCTTTACCTTTCCAGGATAGAATCGAATGGAGAAATCAGCAGAAAATGAAATCCTCTGCTCAAGCCATTGACGAACGTAAGCTTCCTGCTCTGAGGGTGAACTGAAGGTAACATCAATCGGGTAAACCAGCTTCTGATGCTTCAAAGACAGCCATGGGATTACCAAAGTGACGTCTCTTTTCCCATCCTTGGCAAGATACACAGCACGAAACAGTGGATTGACGGCGGTTCCGGTCATCCATGGAAGGCTAGCAGTAGTGAAAATCGCGATATGCTGCCTTTTATCCATGCAGACATTAGTTCCACCACCCAGCACTTGCCGTCACTCAACCTACAAGATCCAGCGCGAACCAGCTGGCCAGCCATGGACATCAATTAGAAAACCAAACAAAGAAATAAAAACCTATCGTCGATCAGAAATTTGACAACGGCATCACTAAGACGTAGCAAAACAGTAACCAGAGCAATCTAAAAGATTCAGTGGCTCATTAAACATCCTCCAAACAAAAAAATGGCGGCGTTGAGATCGAGGCAGAAGTCGTAGATCAAGCAAAGCGAAGAAGACGATCTACGAAACAGCAAATCGAAGCACGCACAATCAGCGGATGGATACCTGAGTGATTCTGATCCTTCGTCGGCCAAATGGCTGCTCTCACTCGGCACAGCTGCGACTTCGAGGGCAACGTTACCAGAAACGGCCAAAGGTGAGGCGAGGAGTCGACGGCCGAGTTTCAGCGAGTTTTTAGTTCTGGAATCGAAAAAGTCGACGAAGAGAAGCCCCCAAGGAAGAAGAAGTAGCAAGGAGAAAGAAGGATAAAAGACACGAGGAATCAAATTAGCGGTAGTACTCTTGGCATTGAAGGGAAGGAGGGAAGGAGAATATCTCAATTATTGGTGGCGCTGCTCTTTCTTGTTGCTTCTTTCTCCTCCGCCCGTCTTCCGCGACCGTTCAATGGTTGTTTGTACGGTAAACGGTTGCCGTTTCGTCACGGCTACCTGCTTTGTGCTTTCCTCCTGTCCTGAGCTGGCGCAAAACCAAAATTCGGAGTTATGTGTGTGTGTCGCATAGATTTGGTGTATGTGTATCAATAGATCACGTTACTAACCTTTGTTAACATTTCAGTCTTAACAAATACCTTTCTTTCTCGATGTTCCAATTCGGCATCAGAATGGACGGGTTTGGGGCTGATTTTGTTATAACGCATTCATATTTGAACATAAATTTATACCCTCTCCAATCTCCATCCTTGAGTGGGTGGAAGTTTTTATCTTCATCCCAACGATTTTTGGATAGCTGTGGATAATCTCCATCTCACGAATTCGAACCAAATTCAGTTTATAGCTAATCTAATATAGTTGAAGAGAAAATTATATTGTAAGGGAAAATTATATAGAATAATATGAGAAACATAGCAAATTTTATTGTGAGGGAAACTTATGGTTATCGTGTGTTGTATATGTATTTATGTAATTGGAAAAGAGAAATGAAGGTGTTTAGAATTATACTATTTTTAGATCTTAGTGGAAACTGAAGATGGGAGGATCAAATAACTTGTAATTGGGTGCAGGTAGTATAGAAATTACATGCATCGCGATTATGAGTATGTGATGGGTTGTATACCTAAACCAATTCCCCCCGAGCCTTTGGTTCAACCTATTCCCCACCAATACACAAGGCTTAAATGGAACCAAACAAGACAAGAAGAATAACCAGAACCTTAAATTCAAGAGAAAGACCAAATCGAGCAAGAAGAGCAATCGTGAGTACACCAGCACCGACAACAACAATATCAACTTCGTCAAGGACAACAAAGGAGAGGATCGTGAGTAGCAATGGAGATCTTCTATCATGTGTTCCTTGATCCAATCCCACTTCGGTTCATCGACAAGTATCTCTGTTTGTGAGAGTGCCCAATCGGAGAAAGCTCACGTCTCAATGATGTTCTCTTCTCCTTGCTTGGAGTCGAACACATCATTCACTCGAAGATTGCAAAGACAGAGTGGATCAAGGTCTTGAGCATTCGAGAAAGGATCAACCGTCTCGTATTAATCAAGTTTCTCAGCACTCTGATGACTAAAGATGTTCAAGGCGCAATAGACAAGTTCCCCAATGTTGAATTCTAACTCAAAGGATTACACCAACATTTTTCCATCAAGGAGTTTATAAGGGCCTTTGACATTTATCCTGCAGTGTTTGTGGACTCCACCATTGCTTCGTTGCCCTCACTCTAGAGAATGCTTTCACATACTTCAGAGATTTCTACGAAGAAGAGCTTAAAGTGCATGGAGCAAGAGCATGAGATGTGAAACTATCGAAGGGTAGTGAAGTGAAACCGGAATTAGAGGTTCATTCACCATGTTATCTCTAGATCTGTGGGTGGAAAGTATGGGAGCAAAGGTAATATGACTGCTAGAGATGCTACATTCCTCTTGAGCATGCAAAGTCTAAGTTCCTTTAACCTAGGCCTCACCATTATGGAGATTCTAAATCAGTACAACAGACTCTCAACCCTTCATGGGGGTGTCTAAGTCACTCTCATAGCCCAGTATCTCAATATAGACTTTGGCAATGTGGAGAGAAGATTGGATACATGGACCGTTCTAATCACATTTGAGACCCTCAAGACACATCTCAAGATGGTCTACAAGAATGAGGAAGGAATATGGAGAGTCCAAGGTTTACCATTTCCCGGAACCAGCACTTTGGTGATTTATGAAGTTCTTTTCAACCTTCCACATAGTCCACCTAGAAGAAAAACCAAAGTACTTGCCAAGGAACCAGATGAATGTGAAGAGGAACTGGAGGAGAGAGCCCCGAGGCATTGGGATGAATTGAACTTCTTTCATAGCCGATCGGCTCAATATCCGACCACATCTAGCTCCTCTGGTGTGGTCAACAACTATGTACGTGAACAACTCATGGCGGTGCTCAAGAATTAGAGAAGACAAATCAAGGCGAGATTATACAACATGGCTTGCAACAATGGCATCCTGCAACACCTCGACATTCCTGTAAGTGACATCACACCAACCTCTTACTCTCAACCCTCTCACTAGAGCCCTATGATTTATATGATTAACCATTTGGTGATAAGTAGTCTGGTTAAGGCAATTCCGGCCCGATTCCTACCTCCATCTTTCTAAACTTCTTTATTTTATTCATTTTCATTTTCCTTATTTGAATTTGAATTATGTCTATCTTTATTTCATTTTTTAGTACTTAACTAATGTTGTGTAAACTAAACTATTAGTAGTGTAGGTTAGACTTATATAACTTTTATGTCTAATACCTCCTCTTCTAGTGCGTGTGTCCTTGAACTCCTGTGGTAACAATCTGAGACCTCATCTTTGAACTCTTGCATTGAGAAAAATGTCTCTTAATTGTGTGTGTGTGGTGGTGGTGGTGGTGGTGGGGGGGGGGGGGGGCTAACATTGTATGTTTAGAGTTCGGGATGGATGAATGAATGTCATGGTTGCTTGATCACTTTTTCTAATTGATGAATGCTTGATATCTTTTAGTGTGAGATGGTGATCAAATAAAATGATTTGTGATGGCTGAATGGCATGACGGGAACTTACTTGGAACCTAGGTTATTGCGTTAAAATTTTAAATTTGAGGGTTCCAAGTAAGTCTCTAGCATACAACGTGACTACTTGCTTTGAATTGATGAACCTAGGGGCTGTTACTTGATCAATGTCGAGGAACGTAGCACGTAAAATGTTGTAGGATGAAGTGCTAAATTTGAATCTTCGATGTGTCATATCTTGTATGTATGAAAGGTTTTGGATGGATAGGTTGCTTGTTGAAAATCTTGAATCCACAGTGTGGGTTTGGATTTATGTGCTTTCTCCCAACCTTGAATTTTCATCCGAATAAAGAGGGTTGTAGCTCATTCTTTCACGATGTACGTGTGAGGCAACAATCAGATGTTTTCAAAATTTAATAATAGTAGTAACAAAAAGCGACTATTCATTCGCGATCGTGTGCCAATTAGAGGGTGATGCACATTAGTGACCCCACTTAGTTTTGGCTACCTATCATATGAAGGTTGGTCATCTTCATGTCGTGGTCCCTCCACAAGAGGCTGAGGTATAGGTAGGTGAAAAGAGCACTACAAGCGACTCTCTTACTTGCCCGATCTTGGATAAATCAAAAAAATTTAAGTTGCTACAACCCCAAAGAAAAATTTACAAAAAGAGAATAATGATTGAGGAGAAAGTAAAGAATATAACCGTGTAAAGCATTCGATTGTTTCACCTACACCCATGGATGGTGATATTGCTTCTTGCACGATCTCCAATCACTCTAGAATGTTCAAGTCGTGAATTTCTGAAGCAATTCGAATGTTAGCATGGAAACGAAGCATTTCTAGTCACTAGTGACATGTTTCCTAAGAAACAAATTGATGGGAGAGCCTAGGGACTTCAAGTTGCATATTTAAGTCACATGTTAGCTTGGGGACCGACTTGCTACTACTACACCACGAATTGAAATCCAATTAGAGCCCAAGTATAAACTTTAGCCAGGTGCAGTATAGGGCAAGTATATAAATGTCAAACCCGGCACCGGTCCATGTACTGATGTACCCCTACTTCAATCGTTTGAAACATTATCTAGCATTCGATTTTTAGTGAAAACTACGGATTACAAATCAAAGCAAGTGAAAAAGTAAATGGTTTTGAAGACTATATGAGAAAGCTTCACCCGGGTGTTGCTCCCCTTAGCTATGTGTCAAGATTAGTAAAAAATAATGCAAGTGTGCGAAAAAGTGGTTGTAAACCGTAGGAGAGCGCAACTAGTGCAAAAGCTTCACTCTTTCAGTCTCTCGGCCAAGGGATGTCAAATCAAGCTAACAAATTAGCTCTCTTGGCCAATCGACTAAGGGTTGTCAAGACTTCCCCCTCGGACCTTAATCCGGACGACCAAACAACAACCAACTCAAAGTGCTAAAACGTAGTATGAGGTTTGCCCTAATTTGTCCCAAGTAGTTGGCTCAATTTGGCCAAGGAATTCCACCTTATAAAAGCCTCTTAGTAATGAGGGGATTTTCTTCTACCTAGGTCAAATTGGCATAATAGTGAGAAATGGAGAACACAAACCAAACACAAAACATTCAATTCATACAATCAATCACATAGTTCTAGCTAGGGTTCACAATGTTAGAGATAAATTAGGAATAATCTTATATTTGATTGTCCTTCTAGTATAGTTCTTACTATTTCCGTGTCCTTCTAGTATTGTGGTTCTCTTACTTATTGTTCAAGTCTTGTAATCTATATAAACCCCTTTGTGGTTTCATAATAATACAAGTTACTCTTTCTATAACTCATATACACAACACCCAAGTGAAAGAAGAGAACTACTTCATGAAGGAGAAGAGAAAAGACCATCTTGAGATGTTTGCCTTCTTCCTTTGATGTATAAATCAGCCTTGGTGGATGAGATTCCCAAATCTTGAAGCTTGGAGGAAACCTAGCTTTCTTCTCCTCTCTTGTTCATCACTCTCTCTCTAAAATTTGAGGAAGAAGATGCAATTCTCTCACTAGGTTCTTTCTTCTTCTTCCAGCTCACTTCCCCTTTTATACCTAGCTCGCAATCATGATGTCCCTTAAGCGCGCCAGGCACAAAAACTTTCCTGGTCTCCTTGCACTTCACGGCCTGGGCCTCTTTATCACGGTCGACCTGACCATGAAAAACTAGCTTCCATCATGATCCTCGGCTTTTTGCTCCCTTCGATCCGTTTTCGCCCTTTTTTGTCCAACTTACGTTCCCGAGGTCAATTCCACTTGCTAGGATCTGAAACAAACTAGAAAAAAAGCACACCCTAGCGTAAAAT